GGAGAGAAAGAAAAAGGGGTGCAGAGAAAGAAAGAAAGACAGAAAGAAAAAGTGGAGACTCATAGATACATATAATCAACAAACCTTACCTGACCTAAAACCTGCAGTCCTACCATATGGGCGATGGGACTAGAGGACTATGCCAGAGACCTTCACAGGAGAGAGTTCATGTCTTTGAAAGCAGCTTGCAGGCAGACTGTAATTACAAAGAGAATGTGTTGGCTTATTTACAAAGCCAATGACCAGAACTGTAACCAGACCTGTGAATGTTTTATTTTAATGCAACTACTACAGTTCAGACCTTCAAAGCACAGTTATTTCAACATGATACCAAACCAGCCAACCAAAGCCAACAACCATATACAGGCAGCCCACACATGCAGGCTATCACAACGCATGGCTTTTCATTTTCCAGATAAATCAGTCTACAGTGCCAGCCCCTCACACAAAGAGTACACAAGGCTGCCCCCTTTCTCCATACTCTTTCTTCCTTACTGCCTGATGTTTAAGTACTTGACCTATTTAACTTATTTCTAGACATTTTTACTTGTTTTATGCGATTATATCCAGTGAAATATTCTTATTCTCTTGCCAGATAATTGTGCTTGTTTTAGGCATTATTTCTTGTAACAAACAAAATTATCTGCCAATAGAATGAGATACTTGCTCTAGATGAAAAGACTTAAAAGTAGCAAACATCTCAAAATAGGTTGAATATTTTTATAGTATTCTTACAACAGTCTCCTAATGATAAATATTAGATATATTGACTAGATTCACTTGCCAATATATTATTTTTTGCAGTGAGCCATATATACCCACTAGGTGGTATGTCTGGATATCCTGGACAATGATCTTGATCTGTTCAGCAGTTCTTAAGGACTGAAAATGTTTCTTAGTTATCCACCACTGTGGTCTTCTGTGGTCCGTCAGGGTGTTTACTGCTGTTAAGCTGAACAGTGTGGTCTTGCTTCTTAACCATTTATGACGCAGTTGTTTTTATTCATTGATTTATTTGTAACTGGCCTTTTGGTCTCAAGGCTATTTGCTTTATACTTATTTGGAGCTCATGTTGAAATACAACAGCAACACACTCCAGATGCCATGAACCAACTCTAGACTTTTTGTTTGCTCTTGTGTGTGAAATAATGGTGCAATGACACACAAGTACTTGTAGGTAAATGTAGAGACCTTGATTGAAAAAGTCTGTGAGTCCTATATAGTTCACCATGGTGGACTTTCATACTGTTGAACTAAAGCTAAAACACAGCACATTAGCTTTGTAGATACTTTAAATCCAATGCGCTGAAGTACAGAACCAAAACAACAAAAAACTGTATCCCTGCCAAATATCTATGGACTGGAACTGGAATTGCAGTGCACATTAGAGTAAGCTGCTTGTTGTTGGGTAATCATGTGTATGTTATTACTGGCTAGAGAGGCTCTATGCATGGCCTTGTGTGTGTTTTTGTATTTTAAAGCACGCTGCTCTTTGCCAGGCTTGCTGAGGAGGTCCAGGGTCAAAATAATCAGTTTTTCAGGACCAGATGTTTCCTGAAAGAGAGAAAGAGAGAGAGAGAGAGAGAGAGAGAGAGAGAATACAAGATATACCTTAAATATTTATGCTGTTTCACAGATACAAAACAGAAAACTATTTCAAATGGAGAGTACTCATTGACTCAGTGCGTGACTATTCATGAATAGCACCTTTAAAATGCTTCTGTGTGTTTGTAGGTGATAAGTACATCGTGGCAGACTGTGGGGGAGGGACAGTGGATCTGACTGTGCATCAGATTGAACAGCCGCAGGGGACACTGAAGGAGCTGTACAAAGCTTCAGGTGAGTAGACTATAAACCACAGACAAACCACAGCCATATACAGAACGACATGCACATTACATACAAGACTAATGCATTTTACATCTGCTACGCAAATGCCTGCCAAAAAAAATGCTTTGGGTCATAAGAAAAAAAAAAAATTAAAACAGCTTAAGACCACAGATTGTGTTAGATATGTTATTAGAGATGGCTGTAATCCAATAGAAAATGCTGGATCCAATACTGGAGTAAAAACAAATTGGATCCAATTATAAGCCTCACATAATAATAAATGAAGACATCACAACTAAGAAACAGTTCACATGGAATTACTTTAGCCAGAAATACTGGCCTTCTACCAAATGGGGCTACGTAGACCCTGCCCTTCCTCGTCATGACACAACTGATTGATTGAAATGCCTTAATGAGAACGGACATTCCACTAATTAAGGTTTACAGTGTGCACAGTACTGAGGATGATAGAATGATTGTGATTCCAACTCTACATTTCCAAACTCTAAAATTTCCAAGTCCTACTGTTTAAAAAAAAAAAATTATATATATATATATATATATATATATTTTTTTTTATTAAAATATAATAAACTAAAGTAAAACAACTAAAATAAAAAATAATGGATTAGGATCAATTTCAGTCAATCCTCAAGGTGTCAGTGTCAGTATCAGAAAGGAAAACTGTGCTGTGTAATAAAATTGTGCAACATACAGTACAGACTAGGCTGTACATTTGACCACCCTCTCTCTCTTCCCTGTGTTTCAGGAGGTCCCTACGGGGCAGTAGGTGTAGACTTGGCTTTTGAATCCATGCTGTGTCAGATATTTGGGACCGACTTCATTGAAACATTTAAAGCCAAGCGTCCGGCTGCCTGGGTGGACCTGACCATCGCCTTCGAGGCCCGCAAGCGCACAGCCGCGCCGGGCAGGGCCAGCGCACTCAACATCTCACTGCCCTTCTCCTTCATTGACTTCTACAAGAGACACTGCGGTCAGAGTGTAGAGACCGCACTGCGCAAGAGCAAGTATGGCTGAGCATTTTGAGATTGTTATAATTATATTATACAACTATTCTAACTTATTTCTAGACATTTTTACTTGTTTTAAATTATTTTGTCTATCTATTAGCAGATAATTTTACTTGTTTAAAGCTTATTATTAAGGCAATCACAGCACCAGCAGTATTCCAAACATAGTACAAAAATTAAGTTGGATTTAATGTATCCTTCGAAAGACAGTTGGATTATAAAAGACAATTCTACATGGTTGTAATTTTGGAACAAAACAATTCTCAGTTTATAACTATAAATAGTAGTAGTAGCACATTTTATGCTTTTACCTGCCATTTACCTTTTTATTTCAAACAGTTATTACATTACTATCAATGTCTTGGCTGCTAATGAAGACTACTGTATCTCTTTCAGTATGAATATAGTGAAATGGTCTTCTCAAGGCATGCTGAGGCTCACTACAGAGGCTATGAACGAGCTTTTCCAGCCAACCATCAGCAATATCATCAAACACATCGGTAAGACAAAACATTCTCCACTAGGGGTGTTACGATACTTCTATTAATATCAATGTCTTCCTTTGATATGGGGGTTGTTAAAATATATGCTGGGAATCAAATAGTTAGTTTTAATGCTATTAAAAATACTTGTGATAGACACACCTACAACAGGTTGAGATGAAAAACTCTATTGAAAAGAAGTATCATATCATGATGCAAAAAAAGTATTGTATCATAAAATCTGTTTGTTACACTCCTGCGCTCCACTCTTTCTCTCACTCTGAAAAATGCTTGAACCGCTGAGTAGCTCTTTAGTTATATAAAACCCTCTATCTTTTTAATAGAGAACCTGATGCAGAAAGAGGAAGTCAAGGGTGTGCGCTTCCTGTTCCTGGTAGGCGGCTTTGCGGAGTCGCCCATGCTCCAGCGAGCGGTCCAGAATGCACTGGGGCAGCACTGCCGCATCATCATCCCGCAGGATGTGGGTCTGACCATCCTGAAGGGGGCGGTGCTGTTCGGGTTAGACCCCACTGTGGTGCGCGTTCGCCGCTGCCCTTTAACGTACGGTGTCGGGGTTCTGAACCGCTTTGTCGAAGGTCGTCACCCTCAAGAGAAGCTGCTCATCAAAGACGGCCGCGAGTGGTGCACCGACATACTGGACCGCTTCGTTTCTGTCGACCAATCGGTGGCTTTGGGGGAGGAAGTTAGACGGAGCTACACCCCTGCAAGGGTGGGGCAAAGGAAGATCATTATTAACATCTACTGCAGCCCCACTGACGATGTGGTGTACATTACAGATCCAGGGGTTAGGAAGTGCGGCGCTATAACCCTGGACCTGCCTGAACCGGGCGCAGTGGCAGCTAGCAGCAATGGTAACGGAGCCGGCTTCGAGCGCAGGGAGATACGAGCCACCATGCAGTTTGGAGACACCGAAATCAAAGTAATGGCTGTAGATGTGGTGACAGGGCGACAGGTGCGAGCTTCCATTGACTTCCTGTCAAACTGACTCAAGAACAGAAAAACAGACAAAAAATGGACAGGAACTGTTCGAAAGACTGATTTGGAACCCTTCCATAAAAGGTCCCTGATTCATCCTGACGTTTTCTGTGACAATTAGTGACAAAACATAACAAAAGTTTAGTTTATGAAGAAGTCATTTAAATTTTATTTTTGTAAACAGTTACTATTGGTGAGAATCATTACTGTATAACATGTCTTTCAAGACCAAAACTACATTGTAGGTATGATTTGTTTTGCTTTTTTAAACCAAGGACGTTGGAGGCGCCACCTGGTGGTCATTTCAATATGGTGCAAAACAAACTGATTGTCAAAGGGAAATAAGCTGGTATGTTAGTTCATCATAAACTGGGACTAGAGGTGCATCACACACACATCACAAACCTATTTATAAAGTATTAAGTTTTTGATAAATGATTTGGATAACAAGATCATACTGTGATATTTGACTGATAATACGTTGATTTGTTTAAGCAACAGTACATAGAAAATATGCTATGCATTCATTTTTAATATGTAAACAATAAACAAGTAATTAAACCCTTCTAATCCCTGTTTTCATCTTTGGTAAAACCAGTTATGTTGACATAAGCTCCAGGAGTGCCTATACATGCAATCGATAAATGAAGAAGGCAGCAGATGAAATGTGAAAGTATTGAATTTAATGGTCCAAATAAATAGTTCCACTGAATGACAAACATGGGAACATACTGCAGTCTGGCTTGAATGCCCAACATCAGTGCGTCTACAATTTCACAAACCAGACAGCCACCTTTCTGGGTGTGTTGTCTCAGACTACTACAAAACAATCTGCCTCCACACAACCACAGCTAAAATCCTGCTTTACTCACAATTCCCACATACACAAGCATCAGCAATACAATTACCAAGGTGGACTTTCATTGATGCTCCACAGCCTGTGGACATGTAGGCGTTTAGTAACAATCAAGTAAGTAAAACAGGACCAAAACTGATGGCTTCCTTTTGAGCTTCCAACAGTCCAGTGGCTACACATATAAAGACCTGGACTGGCCAGGACTGGTGTGTGTTAAGGAGGTTCTAGTGGGCATGGGGGGGCCTACCGCGACCCCTACCCCTGCCAGCAGGTGCTGGTGGGGCATCGACGCTGGAGCGGGGATTCTTGATGGTTTCGTCCACAGACAAGATGAGGCAGGCAGCTTCAGAGGCGGCGGTCAAGGCATTGATGCGCACAATGGCAGGCTCCCACACACACGCCTGAAAGTTATCAGCAATGTCTTCGTTGTTCACGTCCACACCATACCACATTCCTCCCTGACAGACACAAACAATTAGTTAACACACGGGCATTGGAGCACAATGTGTCTGTATGACCACGCCTTAAAGCTGCACTATGTAAGTTTGGAGGTTTGGAGATCTCTCTAGAGGAAATGTATAAGCACATTTTGAAACATGGCCTGGGCTTCAGACCCCTTCCCCAAGCAGATGAATCTGACTGTGAGCGCTTTGAAAGAATATCAATTCATTAAGAATATGAATGACGCATCTGTCAAGGTTACAAATTAATTATCTACTGCTGCCATCATATCTTCAAAAGTATAATGCTGATTTTGCACTTGAGACCTAAACATCGTGCAAGACCTTTTCCAGCCTGTGCGGAACCTTAATATGTAGACATATGACAAAAAACTCCCGCAAAATCCACTCAGACTTATAAATCACTATTTTAGGGTAACTCACTGCAGTGCATTTGGACCACATTTCAGGATTTTTTTGTTGTTCTCCTGAATCGGCAACACTACTACATTTAATTTTAACAAACAAAAAAAAATTACATTGGGCAACTTTAAGATTTAACTTTAGATAGAACTTTAGTAAGCTTGAGGACGTTTCTGGATACAGACTGCAAATGTGCATTAACTGCACAGTTTCTCAATCCTGGTATTGGAACATGCCCTGCCATGCAAATTTTAAACCCACTTGTTTTCCTGTCTTAACACACTCAAATGCACTAAAACATACAGGACAAGGAACAACCCCTAAGACCAGGAGGGAGAATTCCTGTGCTACTGGATAAATGTACTTTAAGAAAATGCATTTTAACAAGCAGTGACAAAGCGGTGAATCGTTTATCTTGTAATCTCCATGTACTTCAAATCTTTGTATCAGCGCTAACTTCTGCTATTGGCAGTACTTCAGCTCAGGGGTATATTTAAGCTACGCGTACACTTTTCAAATAGACAAAGTATTTCTATAAATCGCTCTGCAAAAGATTGGCAGCTGCAAATGTAGTTCCCACAATTTCGGAGAAAGTCCAAAGTCTAGAGTGTGTTCATTTATTCAGGTGGCCATTTACTTGCTCTAGGGTTTTTAATGATGGTGCGTGTAGCTGAATCTGCATTTTTACCTGTGCGTGTTTAGCCCGGAGCTTGTTAAGGATATTGGTCGCATCAAATCCTGCGTTATCACACAGCTGCCTGGGGATGACTTCCAGGGCCTTTGCATAGGCTCCAATCAGTAGCTGCTGTTTGCCTGGGATGGTTCTGGAATAATCCCTCAGGTACTTGGACAATTCCATCTCAATAGCACCACCTCCAGCCACAATAGAGTCGTTCTGCAGTCAGGAAATTAAAAGAGTTTGAACAGGCAAGTATATGGGGGATCAAGCACTTAATTTATCATATCCATCTGCTAAAAGGCAACCAGCACTCAGCAGGTTTTCAAATCTACACAGCTGTACCAAATGGCAGCTCAACCCACCTTGATGGCTCTGCGTACAATCATGATGGCATCATGTAGTGATCGCTCAGTCTCCTCCATAAACTGCTCAGCCCCACCCCTCAGGATGATGGTGCAGGTCTTGGCCTTTGGACAGCCTTTGAAGAAGTTGTACCTAAAGAGCAGAATACACACACACACACACACACACCATTCAAGACAGAAACGTGCCAATTGTTACTACTGTTAAAGCCTACGTTTGATGTACTTTGGGTTAATTTGGGCTGATGGGCACCTTTGGATTGTGTGGATGGCAAACAGAGCCGAGTCCTGGTATTGTAAATTGATGGACTAAACTGTTTCCAACACAGTGCAATTAACTATTTGATGTGACAAACCATGCTGATAAATTACTTTAACACAGCTACATACGCTCACAATCTCTGTTAGCCTAAGTTTTTTTTTTTTACCACTACATGTTTTAAATGATTTTTTCCCCTCATACTTATAATTGTCAATTATATAAGTATGTACTGAGCCCTTCCTGCTGTTTTTCATATTAACTTGCTAAAAACTTTACTACATTTGACAGCCTTTCACAACTATAACATTTAGCCTACTGTTTTGCCAACTGTTTGTTGTTACATATTTTCAAAACATTACACACATTCGAACCATATATTCACACACTAGCTAATAGTGTTTGTACACTCACAGCTAGCCAGCTCCATTAATTCTACAGAGTTGAATTGGATAGTTATGTTTGAGGGGAATGCTGGGGTTTTTAGTAGTTTGAGAATCATGTTCCCAAATCTAACTGGTTGGCATTGAACACTTGGCAGTTAAGTGTTGCAGAGCTGACTCATTCCACAGGTTTCATCTAGAACAACAGTCTCTTAACAGCAGGTGGCAGTTGGTCCAAATACACAGTTAAAAAGGTCAAAAACAAACAAACAAACAAACAAAACACCCTTGATGTGTGGCATTGCTGTTTGAAATGGTCATTTTGCTAAGTTTAAAGGCTTTAGTGTGATTTTCGTCTTTTTTTAGAAAAGAATCAAAGATATCTTGAGAAGTAATTTTGAGGCCAAAGCTGCAGTTTGCAGTTTGATTATGCATACCTCTCTCCTCCAACCTGCACCTCCTCGAACAGCTCACACTGACCCAGGACATCATCAGTGAGGGAACCAACGCTTGTCTGGATAGAGCCCCCGCAGGCCTGAAGGAGACATCACAACATGTAATAAAGAACTACTGTACAGGCAGACTTTTTTAAATTAAAGAAACCCTTACACATATTGTACATTCCCATGCAGAAAATGGACCCAAATACTAATGGTTCTTACTGATGGTTTTGGCCTGGTCAGAGTCCAGATTTAAACCCTATAAACAATATTTGGTCTCACAAACACAAACTAGCAATGTTTTTCAGTTGTTTAAAGCCATTAATGCTGAATGGAACAATACAGAATTTCTGTAAAAGGCGATCTGCCCACAATACTTAAACATATAAAGAAATCAAAAAGAAAAGCTATTCCTTACTAACTTACTTTATCTATTTGTTTATTTTTTGCTAATTTACTGACTAATGACTAGTTAAGACCATTAAAACTTAATGTTTTGCCATTTTGGACTTAGCCCTTTTTTTCTCTCTTGCACAGGAGTGTAAAACAGCACATCAAGTTACAGCAAACAAAAGTACTACAAACACAGAAGGCATACAATCTGGTCAGCATTTGGAAATTAAATGACAAACCTGCTGCATCACTAAGAAGCAGTGACATGTAAACAATATGCCTGAATGCACAGTTCCACCTTGTTGTAAAAGCCACCTGTGATGGGCAGTCAGAAAAGAACAGCCTAGAGGAAAATGAGAATCTTCCATACCATCATGGTTCTCTTCAGATCCTCCTCCTGAACTCGGCCAGCACAGAACAGATCTCTGTCAGCAAAGTACTGCGTGGCCACATCCCCGATAGGCAGCTTGGACAGAACCACCTTGGCACCAGACTTATAGATCTTCTCCAGCTTGTCATACAGGATGTTCCACTCAGCATCAACAATGGCCTGGTAGTCCTGGAGGAAAGAGCACACGCAAGAAGTGTGAGGGAGGCTTACATGGCTTAACCTGGCTGAACGTAATACAAATGCGTTATTTCTAAATAACACTAAAAGAAAATTCATAGTGTTGAAAATTCCAAGTGCCTCTATGACCCTTACTAGATTTTTTTTGTATAAGCAGTAGCAAAATAATGTTTTGTGCAGAGTTCACACTTTTTGCAGCCACCAAGCTCATGTAACTCAGAAGTACATGACTTCAGTGCAATTAATCCTCTCACATGTTCTACTGCAAATAGGTCATATTAAAATGTAGGCCCAAAAGCATGCAGCTGCAATTTTTAAACATTTGCAAAATATCTAAAACACAAACTGGCCTTCAGAGTATGCTATACACATATAACCACTATTCACAAGACAAGTGGTCTGAAAACAATGGGGAAAAAATGACATTAACATTACAGCCTGCTGACAAAATATTGACTCAAATGTCAATTCAGCATGGTAGTCTAGTTTACTGGACTGAAATGAGAGCACCATTTACTGACCTCCACATTGTTAACACGAACTTCAGCATTGTCCTTCTCTGCTTTCAGCTCCAGCTCGATGTTGAGGAGAGCAATCTTTGGGTTCTCATATTGTTTGGGCTGCATCTCAAAGCCAGCGTAAGAGAAGGTCTTCTTAAAGGCCACACCAGCCACCAGTTGAGAGTCCTACAGGGAAAAAAAATGGCAAGACACTTATAAAATACTCACTGATCAAAAATAACATTTTAAAATTAATTTCAAAAATCCCTGATATCTATTTACTCACTTTTACTTATCCTTACCTATAATATATGACTTGAGAACAAAGAAAGGCCCAGGCAGGCTGGCACATTTTAAATGTGTCTAAGTATTTCATAAGGACAGATTCATGATAAGGTGGAAAATACAGATTATCCCTTTTGTTCAAACGTAATGAACCTCATACAGAGGCATCAGTAGTTGCAGATATAAAAATACCAGCACTACTGTAACAACCTCTCACCTCCAGAGCTCCACCCTGAACTTTCTTCATGCCAATCATCTTGAGCTGCAGCAAATCATCCAGCATCATCACTGCATCAACCACCATCTTGGAGAAGAAATCCTTCTGACCAGCAATTAGCTTGGAGTTCAGTGCTGTGGCAGCACATTTCTCCAACAACTGCCTCTGTTCCCTGAAAACAAAAGAGACAGAGAGAGAAAGATAAATAAGAGATAAACACACAACTTGCATATACAGTACTGAGGAAAACTAGGACACCCAATTAAATAATTAGCTTTAAGTATTACGTTAACATTTGATCTTCTTCCAAACAGTATTTATAGATAAAAGTGATGTAACTGCATAATCTCTGCAAAAACAATGACAATTTGACTTTGATATAATTTATTAAACAAAAAAAAATGAACATTCCCACTGAGGAAAAATTAGGACACAAGATGCCCTAATAGTTGGTATTTCCCCCTTTGGCAGAAATAACCTCAATTAGATGTTTCCTATAACCTCTACCAGTCTCTGACAATGACTGAAAGAAAGTTTTTCCCACTTCTCCATGCAGAATTCCATCAGCTGTGTGATGTTTGAAGGGTTTTGCAGATGCACAGCCTGTTTCAAATCACTCATATTGAGGTGCTGTTGGGTAAGATCCAGGCTTCGACTTGGCCATTCCAGAACGCTCCATTTCTTTCTTTCGAGCCATTCCTTAGTGGATTTACTGTAATGTTTTGGGTCATTGTCATGTTGCATAGCCCACCTCGCTTCAGCTTCAGTATTAGGACAGATGGTCTTACATTTTCCTCAAGTACCTTCTCTTATAATAAAGAATTCACAGTGGATTCTTTGAAGCAGATTTTGCCAGGCCCTGCTGCAGCAAAGCAGCCCCAAAGCCCCAAATGACATTTCCACCTACACGCTCTGCAGCTGGTATGAGGTTCCTTGTGCTCAAATGCTGTGTTTGGTTTGTGCCAAACATGTCTTCTGTTACTGTGCCCAAATAATTTAACTTTGGATTCATCCGCCCAAAACACATTGTTCCAGATGTCCCGGTCTTTGTCTAGGTGTTCTATGGTAAACGTTGGTCTTGCTCTGATGTTCTTTTTCGGACTTGCACACGTCCCATGAAAATCAAACTTGTACAGTCTCTTTGTGATGGTAGACACACGCATTTTGACATCAACTGTGGCAAGAGCTACCTGTAGGTCCCGTGATGACATTTTACGATTGTTGGAGACTTCTTGACGCGTCTTGCTGTCTGCTCTTGGGCTGAATATGCTAGGATGACCTGATCAGGCCATGCTGGCATGTTGTTTTAAATGGTCTCCACTGGTAAATTATTTTCCAGACAGTGCTACGGTTGACTTCTAATTGGAGCTCTTTTTAATCCCATGCTAGACTCATATGCCTGTACAACCTTCTTTTTGAATGCCTTAGAGAGCTGTTTGGATCTTGGCACGGTGATACCACTCACTTAAACAATCAAGAGCAAATCAAACTAAATGTCCGAGGTTTAAACTGGACATTCTCCTCCAAAGTCCTCTCTGACAACGTTCTAATCATTTGCGGCTGATGTGGTGCATCTGATTCTAATTTTAGCCATTTTAAGTAGTAATAAATGTGTGTCCTAACTTTTTCCTTTTTCCTTCCTTGTTTAGTTATATTACCTCCACCTCTCAAAATTAAAAAAAAAATGAAAATGATTTCTCCATATATTTAAATATGACAAAGGTTTTCATTGGGGTGTCCTAATTTTTTCACATGACTGTAGCTGAATCATTACAACATCCACCCCTCTAATTTAACATGTTAAAGCACTGTAAAAAATAATCTACAAACCCACCAAAATGAAGAGAGCACTAGCAGCTAAGAACTTTAAACAACATGGCCCACTCTTCTACTCAACAGAAATGTTCATTAAAAGATGCATCGCTAGACAAGTACATGCACATCAGACTCACTGCTTGTCATCCTTTTTGATAGTGACAGCAATCTCTTTGATCTTTTTGACAGCGAGCTGGGTTGCAATGCGGAATGCTCGGATAATGGTCTGGGGATGGAGCCCCTCCTCCACATACGGCTTCAACTGCTTCAGGAACTCGGCCGCAAGCAAAGTCACTGATGTGGTGCCATCACCAACCTGGAAAGGTAAACAGTCATTAATCATTTCTTGTTGGAAAACTTGCTTTATACTCATGAAAAAATAATGTAAACACAAACAAGCACAAATAATCTCATCAGTTGCAGAAATTACATAATTTAATAAACATGTACTACCTCTTCTTGCTCTCTTACACTTTATACACATATAGTCCTGAAAACAGTCGTCATTAAGTCAAAAGTGAAAATGTACAGTAAAATAAAATGCACCCTATACACTGTCTCTCTGGAAATCCACGCTTAGTATACGTCTAAATTTATTTGTGAGTGGCAGACATTGTCATTCAAGTGCAACTCTCAGTCTAAACTGAGAGCATAGCTGAAAACCCTGACAGTCTCATACAAATTAGCAAGTGACAAACCAGAGCCTTGACTGAAACAGAGGCCTCACCTCAGCATCCTGAGACCTGGCGATGTCCACCAGAGTTTTGGCTGCAGGGTGAACCACATCCAGCAATTTCAAGATAGTGGCACCATCATTGGAGATAGTGGCCTTGCCTGCAAGCAGAAACACACACATACAAACAATATAAGCACTTGTACTAAAACCATATTTGAACCTTTGCTTATTATCTTAGCAAAAAGAGACCTGCTCTGAAACATCATCTTCATATTGCTCCCTTTCCTTGCCTCTGCACTTACCTCTGTTGTCCACGATGAGCTTATCCATGCCCCGAGGGCCCAGAGTGGTCCGCACAGCCTCAGCAATGACCTGACAGGCATTAATGTTGCTGACGAGCTGAGGGACACCCTGGGAGGTGTCCGTCCCCTCCTTCAGCAGGATTACTGGAGTGGGCTGAGAGAAGGAGAGAGTACCATGTTAGCAACAAAAAGCCTCAGTAGGAATATGGTTTAGACTTGCTATTGCTCACAGCCTTGAACTCCCCCACCCCTTTACATGACAACAGTGACAGGCACCAGTGGTTGGGGTGATGTCTATGAGAGCAGGGTAATTCAGAAAATGCCTCTGTGTGTCAATTAAGGGTCAACAAAATCACAATCTACATGTCCAAGCAGCAGATGAACCCAACCAGCTTCATCTAGTTAACGTCTGTATTAGCTAGCCAGGGACAATGACCAGCGTCAGGTCAGCTAGCGTTAGTTTACTTTCACTGTTATGGGCGTTAAACACAACTAGCTACCCTGCAGAGCTCCAGTGGGTTTAAATAAGTTACTAGACACGTATTAAGACTTGCTAGTAGATAAATGCTCAGCTGGTGAAGCCAAAGCCAGTGACAGTGTCCGCCTGTAATTTCCGCCAGTGCTACTGTTAGCTAGCCGTTAGCCTGATACCCGTTAACCATCTATTCAGACTGTTAGCCAGCTAGCTAGCTACAATGAATAGGAGGGGCTTTCAGTTCGGCTCATAGCATCAACTTTGCTTCACACAATAAACTGACTAATAATTTTCATATAATGATATTTTCAAAGGCGAGTAAAATTAAAAATGGGCATCAAACAGAGCAAATCCGCTACTGGACCAGATATAAAGAGCCACAACACAAATCCATCAACCACTGTCTGCAGCACAGACAACCAGCCAGCTAGCATCATTTTAATGACATCGTATTAATATTTCTAAACACTCAATGGCGAAATATCGCTGCGTGGTAAAACAGTTCAATGTCCTCTCGGGCTGTAACCATGTAACTAAGCTTTTGAAAGCACTAAGCGGTCAGATGGAGGTGGATTTCTAATCAACGGCATGACTTTGTACTCACCATCATCTTTGCGGCGAGAGGAAGACCGGCCGGCTCCCACAATGCACTCGGGAACTCTCTAGAACAGTGAAGGCGCTCATTTTCTCAGTGAACAGCAGAGGGCGCTGCTGCAGCCCTGAACACGCTCGGGCACAGCGCTCTTCCTGTTAGGACTGAATCTGTGACGCAGGCTGGCTCTGCACTCCGATGGAGAGGTAAAGCAGTGATGAAGCATTTTCTACTAACAGTCCAATCTGTTTTAGCTCGTAACCTTTTTCATTCCCAAAGTTAAACATGTAGCTTTCTGTGGACCTAATGTCATCAAACTGATCCATTCCTGTGATAATCTACAGTTTTTTTAAATTAGAAATTCAGTTTAAACAGATAAACCAGCTTTTGAAACCGTAAAACATGACTTTCTAACGTGTTTTCGTGTAGTGTGAATTATGTTTTTTGGTAGAAATTTAGGAAAAGAAGGCATTTTCCCAGTTCATTGCAACTGGAGGAACTATTTTCTACTAATATGAAATCCATTTTAACATGTGGTAATTAATTTTTACAAGTAAAATAAAGATTTTGACATAATGATGTTCTAATTGTTGTATGTTCATGCTAAATCTTTATATGTAATAATCAAATGATGTATTTCTACATGTAAGATAAAGGGAAAAATATGAAAATTAGAATTTCAGCATTTAATTGTAAACCTTAAACTCTTGTTACTAGTGTAAATAGTTCCTCCTATTAAAATGAACTGGGGACAGCCATGCGTTTTTAGTAGTAACTGAGTTCTTACATGTTACAACATAATTCCTATGGAGAAAAGCTTAAATTTAACCTCGTTAAATTCTATCTGTACATATCAAAATTCATATTTTTACTTGGATTAATAACATTTGGACAAGTTAACGCAGCGTGAAGCTCCACAGTGTGTCTGAGATATTATGTACTTGTGCCTGTGTTTCCCTCAGTGTGCACTGGAGGGCGCTGTACGACAAGGCACACAGTATCACTGATTAGTCTCTGTCCCTGCACTTCCATTTACTTCATTTCACCCTTTACCCTCATATCTGGATCATACGAGTGCTGAAGTGAACATTATTATGATGAAAAGTGACTGAGCCTTTGATATGAGGGGTTTTTGAGACAAATCCATTTGAAAACAGTCCTTTTTCACATGCTATTCAAAACCATCATTGTTCGCTCCTTATACAGCCTACTTCATATAATCTCTTTCCCGGCCTCACCTTTCTAACACTTCAGGGTCACAGTGTCATCTTTTTATAGACCTATGGCTAAATAACAAAGAGATTATAGGCTAATGCTATATGATGAAAAAGTATTAACACTGGGCAATACATAGGCGGCCAATGCTAGGCTATTTTATGAAGAAATCATGTTTGCTCTGTGTGGCCTTGAATAGTAAAATGATCATAGACCACTTTTCTGGACATGAATTAAGCCTAATCTTGGAGCAAACTGCAGAGCTAATGTTGAATCACCACTGAAAAATATTTGTAGTCTGCGTTTAGGCTTAATCTAAATCTTGGAAACTACACTCTTAAAAAAGATGGTTCTTCAGGGGCTCCTTAGTAAAGAAAATGGGTCTATATAGAACCATGAACACACACACACACACACACACATATGTATATATACATATATATATTTATACATATATATATATATGGATGTATATATAAAGGGTTCTTCTATTGCAACAAGATTGACATTGTAGCAATAGAACAACCCTTTACAACAACCCTTTAGAACAACCCTATACCATCTACAGCACATTCTCCATCAGTCTGAAGAACCTTTTCCTGAAGAGTAAGTAATTGGTCAGTCTTAAAATGTAATGCAATGTAAGACAGTTATTAACTTACTAGTTGAAACTCAATAAAATAAACCAGGTTACTTATTTTAACCTAAAACAGCAAACCCTTTTTAACGCTGTAAATAAAGACTGGCTTTTTAAAGTTGTTATAATGTGCAGAGTATCTAGGCTAATGTGTCTGAGAAAACTGTCGTCTCCAGCTTTCTTTCTGTCTCTCTCTCTGCACATACACTTTTATAAAAACACAGACTAACCACATGTTCACATCCTTCTCTGCTCACTGCATGTTCCTCAGAAAATGTAACCCCCATGTCCATCTGAATGTAGGCTATTTTTCCCCAGTGTAACTACAGGCTTTAGTTACTGTGGTTAGTTAACGTAGCCTGGGCTGCAGGGGCGGCGTACACTTCTCTCTCTGATGCGTTTACAGTCTGTGGTTGAGCTCAAAGCTTACAAGGTTCACTGCTTTTAGACACATACAATTATCAGACATTTATACACATACGCAGCCTGCCTCGCCCTTTCGGAGGGTAGCCTTTAACGTAGATATTTCTGGATACATTGGCAGACGACCCACCTACTGCTGTGTTCATGCTTACAGTGGCTGTGAATTCTGACCTGTGGCTGGTTAGTGGAAGACAGCTCAACATCTTAGTGTAGAGAAATGTTAATGAGTATTCTTCCAACTGTGTCAAATGGGATATTGATTACATAATAAAGTCTCAAAGGGTGAATTATTACTAGGCATTCACTATTCTGAGTGAAAAAAGCCAAAACAAAATCCATCCTTCCGTCTAAGCCGCTTATCCTTCTGGGTCACAGTGGGGGTGAGGGTTTGCTGGAGCCTTCATCGAGCAGAAGGCAGGAAACAGGCTGGACAGGTCGCCAGTCAATCGCAGGCCAAAACAAAATAAATAAATCAAAACAAAAAATTACAATAACTTTGTTCCAAATAAACTTAAAGGCCCCAAAAAGGGCTCTCTGGAGTGAGGCTATAGAGCAGGGCTGGCCAAAGTGTGGTCATATTGACCTGTGACAACGTTTGATTTGGCCTGCCAGAATAACCACAACCCCAACCCCCTCATCCAATTACGTATTCATATTATACATACCTTAGATAATTTAAACTATTTTGTAGTATTTTAGTAACAAAATTCACTGTAATGCTAACACACATTACGCATTGCGCTTTGGCCCTCCCATGACAAAAAGTGTGGGCACCCCTATCATAGAGGAGCCACTTTTGGTTACCCTAATGAACCAACATTTCAATGAACCATTTCCATTTTTGTAAATAAGATGTACTAGAGGTTGAAAGAACCCTCAAATAATGTGAAAGTTCTGTACTAATTAAAGCTAAACTGTACATCCAAGAACCCTTTATTTTTAAGATTGCAATTGAAAATAATTGAAAGTCAAGCCAACTCATGATAGGACTTTAAGGAACCAGTGTTTCAGACAAATGTCCAAACGTTTGTAGGCACCTGCTCATCCAACATTTCTTCTAAAATTTAACGGTATCATTAGGAAGACTGTCCACCCTTTACTGCAGTAACAGCTTGTACTCTTCTGGTAAGGCTTTATACCAACTGCTGGAAGATTGCTCTGAAGATTTGATAGCATTCAGCCCTAGGAGCGTTTGGAAGGTCAGGTGCTGATGTTGGATGTTTAGTTCTGGTTCACACACATCACTCCTGCTCTTCTCTAAGCAACTGGATGTAACTCCATCACACCTCACTCCAGTTCCACTGCCCAATGCTGTGGGGCTTTATATGCCTCAAGTCAATGCTTGGCATTGCACATGGTGACTTTAGGCTCATGTGAGGCTGCTCAAGAGTGCTTTATTAACAATGCTTGGCCTTGGAGATTATACAAGCTGCATGTGTGCAGTTGAACTCATGTGTCAGTAATGAGTGCACCTTAAAATAGCTGAATTTATAACTGGAATGTGTGTCTGGGTACATTTGAACATATACAGTATGTTTAAACTAATTAGACCCACAGTGGAGATTTTGAACTGATTTTATTTAGTTCAGCAGTTTTTTTTTGTTAGCTATAAGCTGGTGTGGAAATGAAAAACCGTCTTGAATGGTTTCACCATGCCAGCTCAACTCTGCTCTCATGGCTATAAGATTAAAGAGATCCTCAGATCTGCCCTCCATATAACTCTGTCTTTACCTTCTCACTCTCTGTCATTACCTTCCTTCTTCCTTCGGCCACTCCTCGACTCCTCCCTTGGTGTATGCTTTAATGTGGAAATGGGGTTTTATAGCTCTGCGTGTGTGCCGTATGTGATGGAGTGTATGTAGCACTCACAGCCAGCAGTGATGAATAGGGGGATGAGTGGGTAACTGACTAGCAGTTCTTTCCTTATTATGGATAGAGTGAACATATATCTGATAGTTCCTTTGGCCAAGCAAGCAGAGAAGTCGTAAATAGAGAAGATGCAATGTCTTATAAGGCAATACACTACAACGAGCGGCATAACTATTGCCAGTGCAGGAGGGGCAAATCACAGTGGGGCCCTTAGCATGAGCTGTGGAAACCAGGTCCCCTAACATCCTTATTTGAACTTATTGAACCCGAACTTATTGGAACTTATTGAATTTTACAGCCATGACTCATGAGCAGCTATGACGACTTAATAAAATACTTCACCCATTAGGCTACATTAGAACAGCGACTTGGTTGAGACACAGTATTAGTGTGTAAACAAGCAAATTACATTGTAATTTTTTTAATTGAAGGGAATTTTTGTTTGGGGGCCATTAATCTTTTCTTGGACTGGGGCCTATAAGATCTTAGTTACCCAACTGACTGGAACCGATAGGGAAACATGCTCACACACACAGAAGCTTTTGGGCAGTAAATGCTAGGATGCTCCTCCAGACCTCCTGTCTTTCTGTCTCTTTTAGGTAACATAGGAAGGACCTACTGCAGATTTGGAGTAGGGAAAATCTTGAATGTTTATTAAGATACTAAATTATGTGACCCACACACCTGCATATGTATAAGTGACAGTAAAGGGTACAGCATGACTGAAATAATGCTATAGCATTATATCTGTTCAATATGGCATCATGGCATGAGTGTCATAACGTTATCTGTTAAGGCATTGTAATTAGAATTGTGTTACAGCATCATGGCATGAATTTATTATAGCATTGCAGCATGGTATGAGTATGATTATGCTATCTAGTACAGCATTATGATTGTATGCTATAGCAGTATGGTATGAGCATCATAGTGCTATTTATTACAGCATTACAACTGTATGTTAGTATGCCATTATTTATGCCATTAGTGTAATAACGCTACGTTATAGCATCATGTAATGGCATAATACTATATGTTATAGCAGTAACATTGTATGTTATGGCATTATGGCATGAATGTTACAATGCTACATGTCATACAGTGGGGTCCAAATGTCTGAGATGTCTGTTTCCATTTAACATTCTTTTCTAATATAGCATAAAATGTTCATTACAAATTATAGTATCAGCTTAACAGCTTAAGTGAAAATTAGAATCTTTGACTTTTTCCATGAATATCAGAATTTCATTAGTATTTGGTATGTCTCTCTCATTTGCTTGTGAGTGTTATGGCTTTGGCTGAGTTTTTGATCAGTGACTATGAACACCCACTTCACAATTAATCAGCCTCTTCACAGGCCTGGTCAATATACTCACACTCAGAGCATCTTAACGGTTACTTCTGGGATCGTATCAAACCTCAACAATGTAAAAGCGTGTGTGTGTGTGTGTGTGTGTGTGTCTGTGTGCGCGCATACACCTTTAAAAAAACACTGTCTGCACCCACCTCTGGCACAAAATGAGCATGTATATATACTATAGCCTGCACTGAAGTAAAAAAAGTCAGCTGTCAATAACAAAAATGATTTCAACAAGTCACTGCTGTGGAAAACAAAGACCAACAATCAATGATGACGACAGATGAAAATCACTCCTTCATTAATAATCAGTAATGGTTACCAGAAAGGTGGTAGAGCCACATTTTAAATCTGTCACAATAGTTCCTCTTCAAAGCAGTGTTTAGCACAAATGTCAGCTGATTACTTATTCAGTAATATTCACATTCATTGTGCCTTTTTCTATTGACCAGACCATGCGGGAGACGTTGATACTTTAAAAAGAGCGAACTGCATGCAAATTCCTTCATTTTCAGGACAAGTTACAGATTTAAGTGACTTATTATGCTGAACAAAGCCACATCCCCAGCAGCTTCAGGCCAGAGGAGTAGGGAGGGTAGCTAAGGACGAGGGCTGAATATCTTTTAGATCCAATACTGAGTAATATGAAGGCTGGGATCCCAGTGCTAATACTTGTAAAAGTGTTCTTGTTCTCATAAATTGGGGTAAATTATGGTTTCTTCAGTGAACACTGGCAATGCAAACATTATTTTTGAGGAGATTACATATAAATATAATCCACATATATAATAATGACATATATCAAAAGGGGAACCCATCCTCCTCTGGGTGACATCAAATCAAAAACGCAACAACAGCAAAATGAATAGAGGATTAGATTATACAATTAAAATACAATATTAAATATACAGAAAAAGTAATAAGAAACCAGCCTGTTGTTGGACAGATGCGTTTGGATTAACCAATGATAACCAATGACTACTGTTAGACGTCTTTCAGAGTAACAAATAAGAAATAGATCTATGAAAATTGGTTGCTGATATCAGCGAAAACCAGTGACTACAGTAAGGAACATATCACAGTGAAAATGAGTTAAACCCATAAACATCAATGAGTACTGTTAGAAGCCTATCATGATGATATGTTAGTATGAATATGATAAGAACTTAGTGCATTGTGAGGTAGATGAAAAAATGTCTAAGATTAAATAGTTCTAGTTTGAGTCTGTGCAGACTGTAGTACCATCAGGAGGGTAGATATGGTATGCAGGTGAGGCTTTCTGCACAGCCTTGGACAGCAGGAAGCTCCATGGTGGTCAAACTGGTCCATAAGGCAGGTGAGCAGGGGCACCCGATCAAGACAGATGAAGCAACAGCATCAGACCTAACAGGATGGGTAGTTATTCAGCTCGACAGAGAAACACACAGGCAGTTACTTCTGTTTGGGGTGACTGAAAACAATATGTAGTGTTCACTGACTGCAATCAGTGACTCTGGCAGGCTTAGCTTTTACAGCCTAACCCAAGTCCCCAAATACTCACTGAAAGGTTATTCTAAAGCTGGGGGGCTTTGCATGAAAAGGCCTCTACTCCCTGATGTAACTTTATTAATTCCAGCTACTAATAGTGAACCAACATCTTGTGGTCGAAGTTGGCATGATGGTTCATAATAAACTATACGTTCAGATACATATCAGTAGCAGAATTTTGTACTTAATGCACAATTTAACTGGCGACCAATGTAGTGTTGATAAAACTGGGCTGATATAGTCAAACTTTCTAGTTCTGGCTGAGGCATTCTGAACAAACTGAAGCTTGTGAAGGCCTTTTCTGCCCATGCTTCCACTCTGAGAAGACAATTCAATGTATTGGATCTGAAAGGATGTGTATCTGTCAAGAAGCCTTTACTGAGAAAAAGATCTAAAAATAGACAAAAAAATGCAAATCAAAAAAAGAAGCTGCTGGTTTTCTCAGAACAACGGACTGACCATCCCAGTCCAGACCTTAACATCACAGACAGACAAATTGACAGGCGGACAGACAGACAGACAGACAGACAGACAGGCAGACAGATAGATAGATAGATAAATAGATAGATAGATAGATAGATAGATAGATAGATAGATAGATAGATAGATAGACAAACAGACTGACAGACAGATAGATAGATAGACAGACAGACAGACAGACAGAAGGATAGATTGATAGACTGACTGACAGACAGAGAGACAGACAGATAGATAGACAGGCAGACAGACAGACAGAGAGATTGATCAATACAAAGATAGACAGACAGATATATAGACAGACAGACCAATAGATTGACTGACTGATATGTAGATAGATAAATAGACAAACACACTGACAGATAGATAGATAGATAGATAGATAGATAGATAGATAGATAGATAGATAGATAGATAGATGTACAGACAGACTTATTTCAGCATTAAAACTCATTCCACTTTATAATAGTGGTTATTAAAATGAATAATTAAAGTAAATACTTTGAATTAGTATTTATTATCCACACATCAGCATCACTCCGCCCGTCGCTGGATGGTTCTGCCTCCAGCTCAAACCAACCTGTTACCCGTGTTGCAGCCCCGCTGCTTTCTCAGACTGTAGTTCACCCCACCTCTCTCTCTCTCTCTCTCTCTCTCTCTCACTCCCTCTCTCTCTATCCTCCCCACCCTCCACTAACTGCCACTGATCGAGCCCAGCGCTCCACTGCCTTCATTCATTCACACATACTCTGTCTCCCCGTCTCTCTCTCTCCCTCCCTCTGTCTCTCGCGCTCAGAGCTGCTCCAGAGCTGGACCTTTACTCTCGGCATCTTCCCGTTTTCTCCTTCAGCCTCACTTCTGTAACTGCTGTTCGCGGAGGAAACGAGCGTCGGGTTAAGTTCCTATCCGCTGAGGAGATGACAGAAGCGTCCCGCTGTCCAGCTAGCCGTCCAGCTATGCTCAGCGCGAGAGCCACTGCCAGCTGAGAGGACATGGACGGAAG